GAGAGGCTGGGTGGGGACGGAGGCTGGGTGAGGAGGGAGGCTGGGTGAAGAGGGAGGCCAGGTGAGGAGGGAGGCTGGGTGAAGGAGGAGGCTGGGTGAAGGGACAGGGCAGCAGAGCTCTGGAGTCCGAAGCCACAGGCTGTCAGCACTGCTGACAGAGCCCCCACTGTCCTTCAGAGGAAGCCGGGGAACCTCACCCTCGGAGGAAGAGCATCTCCCTGGGGACAGTCTCACACTTTCTCTAACCCCTGGCTCTGACTTAGCCCATTAGACAGATGACAGAGGACAGACAAGGCTGCACGAGGGCACAGCAGCCCCTCCGGGCAGGGGTGAGGCTGACTTACTGGTCACGCAGAGCAGAGTGTGGAGGAGCCACATCCTAGCTGAAGCGGAGGCGCGGAGTGGGCCTGGGCCAGCTCAGCTTCCCCTCCTCGGCGAGGCGCCAGGAGGCGGGGACAGACACAGACACAGGCCAGGACCCACAGGCAGACAGGCGTTTTCAAGCACACACAGGTGCTCCCACTGGTACCCGGCTGCTGGCCGGGCTTCCTCGGCAGTGGTGGCTGAGTCCTGGGAGCTGAGACACACCTGTCACCACATTTCCTGCCGCGGTGAGCTGAGCCGAGGCCTGGACACAGCTCCGGGGCCCTCAGCCAGGAGCAGTGTTCACCCGCTGCTGTTTATCATCCATGTGAGTCCCAGCCCCTGCCCCAGACACACCTCCAGGACACCTCAGCCCAGCACCCCCTCGGGGCCCTTGGTGATGGTTCCCTGGGCCACAGGAAGTGCCTTCACAGCAGAGCTGGGCTCCTGCACCAGCCCCGCACTCCGGCCCCTCCGGCCCCAGGCCATGGAGGGCCAGGGGAGGGGAAAGATCCAGGCCCTGGCTGCAATCACTTCCTCAATTCAGCTGTGGCTGCTCTTTGCTAGTAAATCCTGGTCACCGCGCCACGATGCCAGTGCGGTTCACCAGAGCGCTGGGCTGGCAGAACAGCACATGTAAGATCCCATCGATCCCCCAGCTCTCTGACCCGCCCCAGCACCCGGAGGACACAGCCGGCAGCCTGCAGTCACAGTTTAACGCCAACTCCACCATCTGCCAGATTCTCCGTGTGACATCTGTCGTGGAAGGAAGCTTCTCGCCCCAAGTCCCAGGCCGCCGTGCAGAGCAGCGCCGTCCCCCGCGCGTTCTGCGCTCAGTCCTGTGGCCGTCACCAGCCACAGGTGGCACCTGAGCTCTGCCCTGTCACCAGTGCCACCAAGGACCGGGCTTGTAAATTTTATTTAATTTTAATTAATTTACATTCAAAAAGGCAGGCGACTCAATGTCTCTTCTCACAGGGAAGACTGTATCTTGAGGGAGAGTACTCTGAAGTGTGGATATAAGTGTTAAAGCACAGAGGACAATGGTGTTGACTTAATGACGGTGAAAATCAATTTTATTTAGTTTCTCACATTAAAAGCTCGCTTTGCCAAAGTCTTGTAAAGTCTGGTGACACTTAAAACATTTTTGCATTGTCTGCTTTGGTCTGACCAAACACCGACTAGTAAGATAGTTCCCTGATGTTACATGGCTATTACACAGATGACAATTCATCATTTTCACACCACAACCACATGCCATCAAACAAAGAAGTTAAACAGCTCAGAAAGCAAAGCTCCAGGTCTGATGATCTCCCTCCCGGACCACGATAAAGACCAGCCCATCACAGCTCGGTCCCCAGTGTGGGGCGTGCAGGAGGCAGCCAATCAATGATTCTCTCTCATCACTGACGATTCTCTTTCTCCCTCTCCTTCTTCTCTGAAATCAATAAAAATATATTTTAAAAAAGAAAATGGAAAAATAAAAACAGTGGGAAACCACATTATTGGAACAGTTGACAAAATTGAAACATGAACTACAGATTAGATACTACTGTAATGATTAGATAAAATTATACATTTATCAAATTACCCATGTCATAGGGGAGGCCTGGCCCGTCTCCACACCACAGTGCCCCTGCTCGGAGGGTCAGGGGCACCTGGCAGAGCCACAGGAAGCCCCTCTGCACACCGAGCCGGAGCAGACCAGCAGCGGGGCAGGCTGGACCCCAGGACTGCAGCCTGCTCCAGACTTCTGGGAGGCAGGACTTCACATCTGCAGCGTGACCTTTGGGCACCGCAGGAGGCCAGGCGAGGTTGGTGCCTGGATGCTGGACCAGGCACAGGGCCGTTTTCTGCATCTTTGGTGATGTCTAGAATGAGGATTCATCCAAGCTTGCTGATGCCAGCATGGCAGAGCCCTAATCATGAGCATACACAGGGGCCCTTCAAACCCATCTGACAGCGTCGCTATCCCCACAAACCCAACTTAAGGTCCCAAGGACTGTGTACAAACCTGGCTGTTCAGCAAGCACATACGTATCCAAAAGGAATGTGAAAAAGACTTTAAACAACTGTTAGAGGGCCAACTCAAGGGATATTCCACAACACAAATGGACTGAACTCGTCAAAAATATTAATATCATAAAAGACAAAGAAAGGCTAAAGAATTGTTCCAGATTAAAGAAGAATAAATGTAGTGCGCGACACTGGATTGCATCCTAGACCAAAAACAAAAACAAAAACAATTTGCTTTAAAAAACATTATTGATTTAGCAAAATATGCCATTCCTGGGAATGGTAACCAGAAAGTCCAGTCTCTGGTTATGGGCAGAAAGATGAGAGGTGAAGGGTATGACTGTGGAGAGTTACACAAAAGGCATCAACTCTACCTGAAATTTATTTTCATTGAAAGCAGTGGGGCCTGGCTGGCGTGGCTCAGTGGTTGAGTGTGATCTATGAACCAGGAGGTCACAGTTCGATTCCAGTCGAGGGCACATGCCCGAGTTGCGGCTCGGTCCCCAGTATGGGGCATGCAGGAGGCAGCCAATCAATGATTCTCTCTCATCACTGATGATTCTATTTCTTTCTCCTTCTCCCTCTCCCTCTCCCTTCCTCTCTGAAATCAATGAAAATATATTTTAAAAAAGAAAAAGAAGGAAAAATAAAAACACAGTGGGAAACCACATTATTGGAACAGTTGACAAAATTGAAACATGAACTACCGATTAGATACTACTGTACTGGTTAGATAAAATTATACATTTATCAAATTAGAATTTGATAACTATACTATACTATTCTCTCATAACTATGAGAGAATGTCTTTGTTCTCAGGAAATGTTCACTAAAATATTTAGGGAGTAAGGGACACGACTGTGTTAGTAACCCTGAAATAGTTCATGGTTCAGAGAGGGAAGAAGGGGAGAGGCAGGGAAAGACTAAATGAGAAAATGTGGCAAAATGTTCTTTATTCTACCCTTGAAACTGTTCTGTAATTTCAAACGTAAAGTTTTAGGGCTGGAGGGGCCGTGTTCAGCTTTAGGGCTGGAGGGGCCGTGTTCAGCTTTAGGCCTGGAGGGCCGTGTTCAGCATGATGTAGAAGGACTAGCTACTCTGTCTTGAGAGTCCAAGCACCAGCGGATGAGGGTGTTCCCACAGCCCTGCCTCAGAGCCCCAGCCTCAGGAAACGTGTCCAATCCCTCGCTTGCCTTCTGAGTCCTGGGAGAGCGTTTGGAAGAGTGGGGATGTTACTGAGACTAGAGCGGACTGCAGTGGAGGCCGGGGCTGGCGAAGGGGGATGGGGGACGACTGGAGAGCAGCAGTCACCACACTGTTGAACGGGCACTCAGGAGGGAGCCGCAGACTCAGTGTCCGGGGCCTTCCGTGGAGCCCCTGTGGGGTCCTCACAGCCACCCTGCTGGGTCATCCGATTTCACCAACGAGGGTGCTGGCTCAGAGAAGGTGGTGAAAGAACTTGCCCAAGACAAATGGCTAGTAAGTGGCAGAGTTGGGACTCAACCAGGTCTATCTTCTCCAGACCCAGGACTCTGAACCAGTAAAAGCTGGTGCCTTCAGACCTAAGGGTCTATCATGAGCTATTAAAAAGCAGGGACCTCATTCCACAAGCATGCTGGGATCCTTGCATCACTGGGTGCCATGCACTGAACTGTGTCCCCCTGAACCCCCAAATTAACATGTTGAAGCCATAACACCCAATTTGACTATATTTGGGGATAGGGCCTTTAGAAGATATTTAAGGTCATAAAGGTAGGGCCCTAATTCAACAGGCTTAGAAGAGGAAGTGATCCCTCTCCCCAAGTGCAGGCAACAGGGAAAAGCCATGTGAGGACACATGAGAAGGCGGCTCTCTGTAAGCCAGGAAGAGAGGCCTCACCAGAACCCAACCATGCTGGCACCCTGATCTTGGCCTCCAGATTGTGAGCAAATAAATTTGTTGTTGAAGCCACCACATCTTGCTATGGCAGCTCACGCTAATATACTGGGCCACCTCCTAAAAATACCTCCCAAATAACACAGTGAATGGTGTGTGTTGGGGAAGGGGGGGCTTAGTGGAGAGGGAGCAAGAGAGAGGATCCTCTTGGCTTTTCATAACTGAGGGGCTGGGAGAGGGGGTTGGGGGTTGCACTTGAGTCATGGAACCAAGGGTTCAAGGTCTTAGACCTCCTGCTTGCCCCCACCTCCTTCCTGTCCAGCTTACAGTCCTGATGCTCCCTGGGAAAGTATAGCAAAGAGCTCACAACTCACATTAACAGTAAAACTGGAGATCCCTTCATGTGACAGATGGGGAACCGGAGGTCCCAAGAGGCGAAGGGACTTGCTTCATCTTTTCCTGTCTGTACATGGGACCAAGGGAGTTCCCTGGGCTCCAGCCCCAGCTGTAGCCTCCATACTATTGGACTCTGCCCCAAAGACACTCTACCTGAGCCAGGAGTGCTGCATCCTGCTCACAGGCCCCCTGAGGAACCCTTACCAATGACAAGAAGGACACATCACAGGATTAAACACACACAACCCCAGGAAGAGATGGGAAGGCCACGTCTTCTCTCCTGCCAACTGTGTGGGCCTCTTGCCCTCACTAACCTGCACTGGTCTAGGGCCTCTAGAATTGCTCAGACGAAACAACTAAGAGCCCCAGGGAGGGTATGACTGTGGTAGATTAAACACTAACTACACTCTGGAGTTTTACTTATACCACAGCAAAATCCCACTTCAATGCCTCACAACTATTTGAAACAGGCTTGGAGTTGGCATTTCCCTAATTGCTCCTGGAACATCAAAAGTCTGTGAAATGTTCATAAATTTCATTTTTTAAAAACGCTACAGTAGTTTTTCTTCTAAGACTTACTTTATAAACATGTAAGAAAAGTTCTAGGTTATTGGCGGTGAGATTACACAATAGTAATCTGCCTTGAAGTGTGCTATTCTCAAGATTATAAAAAAAATTTTGGTCTTTTTAGTTCTTAAAAGAAAAAAATGGTTTAACTTCTAATTTACTTCTTATTATAAGGTTTAAATGCAAATAATTATACATCAAGCTTATTTGTGTAGCAATTAATGAATCTGTGAAGCCACGAGTTGCTGTTAACTTTAACCCACATAGTCTGTCAGCATTTCGCCATCATTTTAAGAACGCTCCGTGTGAGAGCTGGAATGCTGCTGGAGGCAAAGGGCTGCTGCGAAGAGAGCTGCTTCCTTTTGCCTTCTCTGGGCTGCCGTCCTGTTCCTCCCCAACAGGACCAGAGGCTAGGCCAGTGATGGCGAACCTTTTGAGCTCGGCGTGTCAGCATTTTGAAAAACCCTAACTTAACTCTGGTGCCGTGTCACATATAGAAATTTTTTGATATTTGCAACCATAGTAAAAGACTTATATTTTTGATATTTATTTTATATATTTAAATGCCATTTAACAAAGAAAAATCAACCCAAAAAAATGAGTTCGCGTGTCACCTTCGACACACGTGTCATAGGTTCGCCATCACTGGGCTAGGCCGTCCCAGCAGTCCTTCTATGGGGTTCCGTCCACCTGCCCTCTTCCTGTCCGGCTCTCCTGCCTTCTTGCCTACGTAATTCTCTAGCAAACTCTTCCAAGAGCTGGCTAAGTTTCTGCTCAGCTATGGCCAGATCACCAAAATGGGAATTTTATCAAGGGTTTAATGAGATGTTTCTGTTATACAAGTATGCACTGCTGAGCAACCTTCCTCTGAATCTGGTGGTCTTTACTAAAAGCAGACTGACGTGGAGACAAAGGTACCAGAGCTGGGTTAGGTTACCACAGTCCATCTACCAAACACTCTTTAGGCGCCACTTTGACATGTTGGGAAGACACAGAGGCGACAACAGGAAGACACCTGCTCACTGGGAGCTCGCAGGCTGGCAGGGACAGTAAAACAAAGACCAAGTGTGGTGGGTACAAGGCAGGAAAACAAGGACTAGCCAGGCCTGAGCGGAGGGAGCTGCTCCTGCAGTGGGGGTTGTGCACACCCAGCACCTGTCTGTGGGGGGCCTGTCAGGTGCCAGGCAAGGTGCCAGGACTGGGGAAACCCCAGGAACAAGCCAGACATGTCCCTGCTCTCACGGAGCTTACAGTCTAGCAAAAAGACAAACTAGGAACCGGGAACTACAATCCAGTGTAAAGGGGGCAGGCTGGGGAGAGGACAGAGCTTTGGTATCATACACACACTTCACTTAGGCAAACACTATGGCATTTGGGGGAAAAAAGACAAGGAAAAAGGGAAATAATTTTAAATCGTTTGGCCCATTCCGCCTGCCCTCCCCTCACCCAGCAGAGGGCGGGAGGGCCGGTGGCGAGCTCAAGCTCTGCTGCTCCTGTGGCCTCTTAGCCCCCAAGCGCCTCTTCTCACCCGCGTGGGACTATGGCCCGTCAGCGCAGACCTGACACTTCCCCTGGTGCTCAACCACAGACACCGTGACCTGTGCCACATGGGCAGGAGCAATGCACTCATCATGGGCCTCCTGATGCTGGTCTTCAGCACAGCACTCCTCAGGGTTTCCAGGAGGAACTGTGGGTACACTCAGTGTTCACCTGGGTATTGCTTTTCTACTCTAACCCTGGAGTAAGCCAGGACTTCCATGTGGCAGTCCCGTGGGGCACAAAGCAGGGACCCAGACTCTGGCTCTGGGAGCTGGGGTGCCCCGTGGAGGGGTCGCTAAGTCCTTGAGCATGGAAAAGAGAAGGCCAGGCAGGAGGGGACAGGGCCAGGGGGTGCCAGTGCGGGAGGACAGCACTGAGCAGAGCCTGGGAGGCTGGGAAGATAACGATGAGCCCAGGGAAGTAGTGAGCAGAGGGCAGGGGAGGGCGGGCCAACAGGCCAGAAACAGTGCCAGAGACTAGGTCTCGACCAGCCGTGTGAGTATCAGAGGAGTTTGGGATTTATTCCAAGGGCAATGGCGACGCTTTGGGAAAGGTCTTAAGCAGAAAAATAACAGAAAGTTCATCCCGAAGCACATGAAAAGATAGCCGACATCTGTAGTCATCAGGGAAATGCAAATCAAAACCACAAGATACCAATTTATATCAGAAAGTAAGTTGCTGTCAAAGATGTAGAAAAACTGGAACCCTTGTATATTGCTGGGGGGAATGAAAATGATGCAACCACTTGGGAAAACAGTCTGGCAGTTCTCCAAAAGGTTAAAGACAGAGTTGCAATATGACCCAGCAATCCCACTTCTAGGTATATAACCCAAGAGTAATGAAAACATATGTCCACATAAAACTTATACATAACTGTTCATAGGAGCACTATTCAGAATAGTCTCAAAGCAGAAACAACCCAAATGTCCATTAACAGGTGAATAGATAAAAGTGTGGTACAGCCATACAATGGAATATTATTCAGCAACAGAAGGAAATAAAGTACTGATACATGCTACAACATGGATGAAACTTGAAAATATGTTTAGTGAAAGAAGCCAGTCACAAATCATACAAAGTGTATGATTCCATTTATAGGAAATGTGCAGAATAGGCAAATCCATAGCGACAGAAACAGTGGTTGCTGGGGGGGGTGGGGGGACAGGGAATGAGGAGTGACTGCTAATGTACAAGGTTTCTTTTCAGTGACGCAATGTTCTAAAATTGATTATGACGATGGCTGCACTTCTCTGTGACTATACAGAAAGCCAGACGTGCACAATACATAAATTATATGTCAATAAACTGCTAACAACAAGAGTTCATCCTGGGTATGGTGCAGAAGAGAGAGGGAGAGATGGGGCAGAGACCAGCGAAGAGCTGCTATGGAGATGGAGCGGGAGACAGTGGTTGAACTTCGGGGAGGGATTCAAGGAATGAACGAGACGAGGCCGGATGAGGAGAGTGTACATCTGTGGAGCCTCTGCAAGTTCCCCTGGGTAGCCGGTACCTCTCCCAAGAGGTAGAGTGGGAAACAGAAATGAGGTATCTAATTATTATCAAGCAGCAAAAATGTATTTAAAATCTTGTACGTATAAAGACGAAGAGAAATCTGAAAAGTGCATAGTCCTTCTGCCCACGTCCATGAAGCGCCCCGTGTAAAAGCCCACTGAGCTCCTGCCAGGGGACTGTCCTGACTGTCCATCCTCACTCCCAAACTCCAAAGGAAGGGCCTGGGCACTCGGGGCACGCCTAAGATATTGCACAATCTGAGTATCTGAGTACAGGCTGGAAAGCAAGAGAGGCTGAGACCAATAACTTTCAGAAATACACTGAAAATCTTTGAAGATCCTTTTCTGGGTTCTGTGTGTTTGTGAGAATTGCCAAGCTGCTAAAGTGGGCATTTTTCTTGGTTAAGTCAAAGACCCGGTTTTGACTACAAACCACCACTCACCTGAAAGTCTTCCCTGGTCTCTACCGGGGACTGGGAGGACTAAAGGGCCCTGGGACAGATGGGCCTGCACCGCTGCGGGGAAACCCAAAGGAAATCCTAGGAGGGGGCACTTTCTGAAACTACAGAGACCGTGTCAGTTGGGACCCTGGCCACAAAGACTCTGTCCCACCCAGAGACTGGAATGGATGGGGTAAGTCCCTGTCCACAACCTCATGCACAACCTCAGTTGACTCCTTGACCCTTCCCCCGCCTGCAACAGAAACCAGTGCTGGCCAGCTTACTGCAGCCGTAACTGGGGCAAAAAGTCAAACACCACTGAGCCACACCAACAAAGCCAGAAGCTCTGGTTCCAGCCATTCATTTGCTAAATGGGGAAACCAAGGCCCAGGTCATGGAACACAGCCAGGGGTGGCACCCAGTCTCTGACTCTCAGGGCCTCATAGTTCTCACTCCATCAGCTCCAAGCCCTCAAGAACCTGGCTCTCAGTGTGCTTCAAAGAGCAAGAGGAGCTGAGGAGCCTCAGAAACCTTAGGTCTCAACCGGCAGAGAAGCCTCAACTCTCTCTTTCCTAGAATCCTATTAGGAAGGTGAAACGTATCATGGGCCTGTTCTAATCTTTCTAAAGGGAGAAACCTTAGGTCTCAACCGGCAGAGAAGCCTCAACTATCTCTTTCCTAGAATCCTATTAGGAAGGTGAAACATATCATGGGCCTGTTTCTAATCTTTCTAAAGAGAAGAGAAAAAAGCAGGTCAAGCAACAAAATACAGACAGTGCAGGCTTTGCTGCAGCCCTTTACTTGATTAACAACAGTGTCTGCACTCGATCAGCTCTCCAGGGAGCACTAATGAACTCAGCCACAAGACAGGGAGGAGCTCTAGAATGCAGGGCTGCACCGGGGACTGGGACGCTCCCGGCAGGTGGAGAGTTGTGACATCACAAAAGGGACAAGGCTTCACTATCCCTAACTCCCAGGTGCTGGTGAACTGAAGTGAAACACCCTTTTTAAGCTGCAGAGGAATGCAAACATTAAATACTTCAAAATAAAAATCAGACAGGAAAACAAACTAATCTACTGCCCTTTTAGTTAAAATAATCGAACTAAAACTAGAAATGAAAAAAATTCCTATAACTATGTCATTTGCCAGTTTGGAAGATGTCTCCAGGTGTCAGAAAAAAGGTCAATGCGTTATGTCTAAAGGGATAATGAACAACAGAACCCATCTCGGATGGGTGGATGTTTTCCTACAGTGGCCAAAGGCAAGCTGAACTCTATGTACAACAGACAATACAATTAGGATCATTTAAAAATAATGAGACTCCTCTCTTTGCCTTCTTCCAAAGTATATAATATATATTTAACAGCACATTAGACACCACTTGAGCTTCCCTGGTAGCCAACAGGAAGTATTTTCACATATAAAAATTAAAAATTTAAACCTTAAATCATTAATATTTTTTAAACATAATACAGACTTAGAAATTGTTCAACATTACCCCATGACCCCACCCCTAGCACAAAAAAATCCATCCCAAATCCAGAAGTCACAGTTTTTTGTTCCTAAAAATCCCCCAGTACTGAACTTGATCTTCACGGCAAGCCGACTGCTAACAAGAGGTCCCTAACAGGCATCTCCAGGAGGAACGGAAGCACGACGGACGCTGTGTCTGTGATCTACCTGGCAGCACTGGTGCACCTCTGAGGTCAGGTCCATGAGATTCGGCCCCCACACTAGGGTCCTGGAAGAGTGAGCTGGCAGCTTCCCTCATCTTCCCCCTCGAAGGCTGTCCAATAAGCACCTGGGAATTGACTTTTCTTGGGAAAAGGGTGCTGGTAACAGCTGTCAGGGCCAAGGCAATAGTGAGAAGTTCAGTTCTCTGCTCTTTGGATGAACTGTGTAAAACATTTTTTTTTTAAAGACACAATGTTCCAATAAGCACCTGGGAATTGACTTTTCTTGGGAAAAGGGTGCTGGTAACAGCTGTCAGGGCCAAGGCAATAGTGAGAAGTTCAGTTCTCTGCTCTTTGGATGAACTGTGTAAAACATTTTTTTTTTTAAAGACACAATGTTAAAAATATTAAGAAAAACATCTACAAAATCTGGAGGGCTGCCTTTTTCTCAAAGGGTAAAGCTTTGTGGAGTGGTAGGAAAAAAAATCGAGGGCCCAGAACTATAACTCTGCAGCAAAAGATAGATAGATGCCCTTCAAACATGTCACATTCTTAAGAGGTCTTGCTAAAGTAGCAAGAGCTGAGGGTGACTATGTGAGTAAAAGCGGGAGGGGCACCAACTCCTGCAGGGGAGGTTCCTACTGTGCACCCACCCTGCGCAAGAATGTCAGGCTTTAGGGCAGCTGCCATTGGCCCCAAGGGCATCAGGACTCTGCCTCTGAACCAGAGCTGCTTTCCCGACTAACTTCAATCTGGAGAGATGGTAAGTTATCTAACCGGCTCTTCTTTTGGCGAGACTGTTCTTTCTCCTTAATCAGAGCCCCCCATGCCCTTTGCAGCTCGGAGTCATCTTCCTCAGTGCCAGGAGCCCTACGATCCACTTTCTTTGTGTTCTTTTCTTTGGTCTTGGATGCAGATCCTAAGCGAGTCCATAAACTACCTGTTTGAATGAGAAGGCATTTTAGTTTTGGTAGTCAATGCTGAGGAAGCAGGGGTACTGCCAACACCTGATGAGCCGGGAACAGTGGTGGTGGGGGTGAGGGAGGAGGGTCTGTGGCACCTGCAACCACTGTGCAGCCTTGCACAGGTAATCTCATCTCCCTGGCTGCATCCCCTGCCTGCTAACTGAGGGATCTGGACCCAAGGGGAGATTCTCACAGCCAGGGAACATGGCCTCCATGCTAAGCATTTTAGAATCACTGGGAAGTCTGTGCTACACCTGCCCCCTCCCTGGTGAAACGCACCACCCTGTGCACAGCTGCATTCTGCCAGGAGTGGGCCATCCCCAGATCACCCCAGCTATAATGTTCTACAAACTGATGGGCCTGCAAAACTGCAAACTTTTAGAGATTCTGCCCACCCTCCATTATATTTTAAAAATATACTTTATCAATATCTAATAATAGAGAAATATGTGTTTAGAATTTCATAGTATAGCCACACTATAAGGCAATTAAGTTTTATTTATAAAGAATTTAACCCGCCCTAGCTGGTTTGGCTCAGCGGATAGTGAGTCGGCCTGCGGACTGAAGGGTCCCAGGTTCGATTCTGGTCAAGGGCATGTACCTGGGTTGCGGGCACATCCCCAGTAGGGGGCGTGCAAGAGGCAGCTGATCGATGTTTCTCTCTCATTGATGTTTCTAATTCTCTATCCCTCTCCCTCTCCCTTCCTCTCTGTAAAACATCAATAAAATATATTTTTTTTAAAAAAGCATTTAACCATGTAGAAAAGTGACTATGGTAAAACACTATATGAAAAGGTAGGATATGTATTTGGACAAAGACTGGAATGGCATACATGAAACTAAAAAGTATTTGTGCTAAACTGAAAGAACCAGGGATGGGTCTTTATCTATTTACTAAAATTTCCATATTACTGCCATTATTATTGTTGTTGTTGTTATTACAACTATTATGAAAGAGAAAAAATATTTTTGGCACCTGCTATTTACTGCCTTCTACTAACAAAGTATTTCAATGCTTTAACCATTGTCCTTGCTCTTCTTACCCAATTCCCATCCCCATCAGTTTTAAGTGTTACCAACCTGATTTCTTCTCCCGAGTATCAGAATAGAGGCCTTTAGTGTCTTGCCTGGGAACACCTAGCCTACTATGAACATCAGAAAAGGGCTCTCTCCGAACGACGGGGTTACAAGCCTTTTCTGGAGAATGTGGTCTTTTTCCTAACCGCTGGCGTATATCTAGGAAAGAAAAGTACTACTGTTACCAAGTGTGTGTGCTTTGCTATCTGTACTGTCAACCTGGGATCCTTACAGGACCTGGTCCAGATCTCCCCGAGTGAGGACCAAGGGCCAACACACTCAAGCTTCTCAACATCTTCTCTCCATGCCAGTGATTTTCAACCTTTTGCATCTCATGGCACACATAAACTAATTACTAAAGTTCTGGGGCAGACCAAAAAAAGGTATAATTTTGATCCATCCACATGGGACAACATGTTGGCTGCTGTCATTCTTTTATTTGACAATCTAAGAGAAAAGAGGTCAGTGCCCCTGACTAAATAGTCAGGACCGGGTGAAAATCGATACTGTATGTAATCTAGATTTCCTTAGGAAAATTCAGATGTAAGGGTTCCCAGCGGGGGTGGGGGAGGGTGTTCTCAGCTGACTGCTCCAGAAAGGAATTTCTGTGGCAGAATCAACTGTCTTTTTTTTTTTTTTTTTTAAGTAGAACCAAGCAGACCAAATGATTTACAAACATTTTAGTTAACAAGCAATATTGCAAAAGCCGAGGGCAGAAGCCACAATCTTTGAACATATAAGTCAGGGGTCCTCAAACTACGGCACGCGGGCCACATGCGGCCCGCTGAAAACATTTATCCGGCCCGCCGGGTGTTTTTGCCGCTGCTGCCTGTTGCTTAGCAGCCGACTAGTTTTTTTTTAAACTATAGTCCGGCCCTCCAATGGTCTGAGGGACAGTGAACTGGCCCCCTGTTTAAAAAGTTTGAGGACCCCTGATATAAGTTCTCAATAAACTTATCACACTTAACAATAAATGTAATGAGAATGGTGAAAAACAAAGGATTAAGGGAAGATGTCCCAAATCAAATTTGTTCTTCCTCTATACCCCCTCCAACCCCCCAAATCTGCCTTTCCTCCTGAGTTCCTTCTAACAGTAACACAATAGCAGCAACAACAAAACCACCTTTATTAGCAAGTGGGCTCTTCCGCGCCTGGCTTATTCTCGGAGAACAGCACCCCATCATCCCAGTCCCATTGACCTGGGTCCCTTGGCTTCTCTCCCTTTCCTCCCTCACATCCCAGTGCTGAGTCTTCTTCCTTCACAACGTTTGACATTCTCGTCCACTCTGTCTCTGTGGTCCCTGACCTAGTTCAGGCCTTTGTTACTTACTTAACCCTATACCCTACCTCACTCTGCTCCTAAGTTATCTTTCTAAAATAGATATAAAATCAGGTTACTTCCTCAAAAAACTATATTTGCCAACTGAGATCCTATTCTCTCCCCACATTCTCTAAGAAGCCTTCCACAATTCTGCCAGAAGATCCAGCTTCCCTCTCTGCTCCCACAGTCCACTGCTTACAGGACTATCAGAGCACTTCCTCCACTCTGCTTTTGGGGGAATGATCTGAATGTGTGCACTCGTGTTTCTCCATCAAAGTTCTAGGATGATTCTGCATCCCCTCTGAAGACTTCGAACACTCCCAGCACCTAGCTCAGGGCCTGGCACACAGTAGGCATGGCCAAGTATCCGCTACACGCCTGTCTAGTCCAAATTCTTAACCATTTCTACAACAATTTCTATTACCCTTGACATATAAAAAATACCAATGATTGCCCAACCACCATGGCTCAGTGGCTGAGTGTCAACCTATAAACCAGGAGATCACGGTTCTATTTCCAGTCAGGGCACATGCCCAGGTTGTGGGCTTGATCCCCGGTGTGGGGCTTGCAGGAAGCAGACGATCAGATTCTCTCTCATCATTGATGTTTCTATCTCTCTCTTCCTCTCCCTTCCTCTCTGAAGTCAATAAAAATATATTTTAAAAAATACCAATGACATACATAGTAAAATAATGGTTAGGTTCAAAAATACCTGGAATGAAAGCTAGTATTAAAAAGTCGGATTTTTCATGTCCTGAAAGCCAATGCCTAACCCAAAATTTAGAAGTAATGAACCAGAACAACTAAATCCGTCCATAAATGACATCATTTAATCTAAAAACCTATCCCTGCCCGTCTGCCTTCTGGAGCTCAGAACGAAGCCCAGAAGCAGAGCTGACCAACGATACCTGATTTAGTGCTGCTGCCTGACGGCCGCGGACGTGTGTGCTGACGTTTTTCATCTAATAAATGTCGGACGTCTGCAAATTTCTCAGGTGGCAATTTGTTGCCGATTCGGTTTTTGATATTGCTTGTTGATATAGTATCTGACCTCATGGAGTTCCTTAAAAAAAAAACAAAAAAACACAGCTAACCACTTCAACTATGGGACAATGCCCACGCAACAATCTCACATACTTCTCTGGAAACAATTAAAACCCAATCTAATCTAACATTCACTTACAAAGACTACACACTGATAATTATTTATTTACAAAAATCATGATCAGCCTGATGTAAAGAGACCAGCCAGGTGAGCAGGTCCAAGGTTCCCACACCTGATATCTGTAAGCCATCACGAGCATGTAACTATGAGTCTCCGTCTCCTGGGACGAACATTGAGAGGCCTCTGCTCCCCGAGGCTGTAGACAAGATACAACAGAGTCTGCAATCCCTTTCTCTAGGGCTGACTTCTCCGTCAAAGACATCTGCTACCATGCTAGCAACCAGCACGATTTTGGCAGCATTTGTCTTTACAAAGTTCTGTGAAAACTAAAAATAAGGATGTGAACAAAGCCATACAAACCAGCTTGAATGGTTCCTTCCTTTCCCCAAATACACCACCAAGAACACTTAGGGAGAGCATCCCTAGATTCCAACCCTTTGAGTTGTGCATATGCTATCTGCCCTCAGAAATATGCTCATCCTCATCCCCATTAGTCATCAAAAAAAGCACATTAAAATAACTGTCTTTGCCCTGGTTGGTTGCTCAGTGGTTAGAGTGTCGCCTGTGGACCAAAGGATCCCGGGTTCAATTCCCGGTCAAGGGCACGTACCTTGGTTGCAAGTTCACCAACCCAGGCAGGGGCTCGTAAGGGAGCAACCAATCGATGTGTGTCTCTCATGTTGATGTTTCTCTCCCTCTCCCTCCTCTCCTCTCTCCCTTCCACTCTAGCAATCTATGGAAAAAAATATCCTCGGTGAGGATTAAAAGAAAACAACTATTTTTTTGGTCCATAAAATTAGCAAAATTTAGAATAATACCTCACATTGATGAGTATGTAGGTAACAGGTGAAAATGTGAGTGAATAAAACCTTTCTGGAATGAAATTTCGCATACCACATATATTTTTTGTGCAATAATTGTAATTTAAGGAATTTATTTATTAGTGAGATAGTAAGAAAATAGAAACCTAAGTGTCCATCAATAAGAGATTGGGTTAAATAAACCATGATACTTTCAAACAATGGATTACATACAGCTGAAAAAACAGTGGATCTCTATAACATATTAAATGGAAAAAGCATACTGCAAAACAATATAAACAGCGTAACTTCACTTTTGTACAACTATGTCTATAATTTCTCCATGTGTTATGTGTATGCATGAAACTAGTGGGAAGGTTATTCACCCAGCTGCTGACAGTCTTGTCTCAGGAGAGGATGACTATACAGGTGATTTTCACCTTTTATACTGTCTATAACAAGGATCTCTTCTTGTATATTTTGAGGAAAAATCAAACACTTTTATTCAAACTCTACAAAGGACTAAAATTAGAACAGATAAAGTGATTATAAAACTAAGAGGAATTAAAATGAAGTTAGTAATTAGTATTTAAAACCAAATTAAAAGCTAGCACTGACAGAAAGGAGAAATAATCTTACCTAATATTTTTCAACTGAGATTCCACTTCATCAGCATACATAGTCATTTTCATGCTTTTCTTTGGTGAAGGAGTGGAAATCATTTTCAGTTCTAGATCATAGTCCATTTCATCCGAGTCTGAGCTGCTGGCACTGGACCTCCTGGATGAGCTCCGCTCCCGGGTCTGCTTGAGAGCTGGGAGCTCCTCATGGTACTCTACTACCACCCTGTCGTCAGCATCCATGTCCTGGTCCTCCTCCTCCTCCTCTTCCTCTTCTTCAATGGGTTCCTCAGGAACATTCACTAGTCCTAAGGAATTTAACCAAAAAACATTAGGAAGAGCAATGACAAGTCTAAATTTCTATTTACTTCACTGACTTCTTTAAAAGAAAGGGTTCCCATGCCCAAGATGTTACTGACGCATTATCTATAACAGAGCCAATCTGGCTGCCATTCTGATACCTACAACAGAAGAACGGCTAGGTCAAGTATGATCTAGCAGCCCATGGATTATGAAATTATCTCAAATACAGTCAACTGCCATTATTCACAGATTCTATATTTTTGATTTTGCCTAATTTATTTCTAACTCCAAAATCAATGCTCACAGTGCTTTCATGGTCATCAGTGGACATGTGCAGAGTGGCAAAGTAAGAGTCGCCACACATGCACCTTCCCAGCAGAGGTCAAACGAGGCAGTGCTCTTTCTTCTTGCTCACCTCACACTGTAAATGAGTGTCCTTTCTGCAGTCTAGTGAGTGCCATGTCTTTCAGTTATGTGGTGTTTGTTGGTGATTTCACTATGTAGTAATGCCAAAACTGTCTAGTGTTCCTAAATGTAAGGAGGATGTAATGTGCCTTAAGAGGAAAATGTGTGTATTATATCAGCTTTGTTCAGGCAGGAGTTATAGTGCTATTGACTGTGAATTCATGCTGATGATTGTATTAAATGTATGTATTAAAATAAGGTGTCTTTAAACAGAAAGACAACGTTATATATTGATCAGCTGACAAAATGGTATGACCAGATTCTCAAAGGTTCAGTATTTGCTCCTTCAAGGGTCACGGTGACTTTATAAACCATAATCACCAGAAATAATGTAACTTTAAAGTTCATGAAAAAGCACATATAAGTAGTGGAAGAAGCAGAATACAGAATATATATATGTTCACAAAAATTATAATATTTATTATGAAACGAAATAGGAAAAATGTAAAATGAAAGTCAGTATATTATAGTGCTAGAATTAAGGGCAATTCTCTTTTTAATGTCTTTAATATAAAGATTACATGATGAAAATATCTGAGATATCTTAATGTAACTGAAATTGGAAAAATGTAACTGCATAAAATGCAAATTTTACATATAATTTTCTATATACACATTAAATAAAAATGTACAGATGTCACCTCTCCCTGTCCTTGTTACAATGATAAATGTGTATGCATGTTATTCCATGTTTGTATGTTGACTTAGTTAGTTCTAGTTTTACCAAGCATGTGGAAGATCCCACAACTTAGGTTCAAAATAAAAAACAAATCTCTATAAAACATAATGAAAATGACTCTTTTACAATAAGCAAAGAAAGAAAAAAAGAAAGACGAGAAGAGAAGAAAGAAAAAAAAAACAAGTCATGATATCCTATTTTTCTGGAGACATTCATGTGCACAAGCCAATATGCATAAAACACTAGATATAGCAGCCTATTTTCATCTTCAGATAAAAGAACAATAAAATCAGCTCATCTGATAAAATTTTTTTAAAAAATTTTTCATGCAGTTTTTGATATAAACAGAAAAAATTAGATTCCTAAGAATAGTTTTATTTTCATTTTCCCTATGTCACATTTGGGCTTTTTTATTAGAACAGCTTTTATAAAACCATTTGACCTCTTTGTATGGGCAATTTAAAATTAACTCTGACTTGACTTACTTTCCTATATGTTGGCAGAGGGTGAGGGCAAGGAAGAGAGGATGATAAAGTTTGGAACCTTAAAAGACTGTATTAAGAATAAAAATATGATTTCGGGAGCCAAACATGTGTCTACCCAAGAGCTGAGCAGGCAACTACCGGAATGTCGATGTTTATAGGACGTCAAGCCAACATCATCCCCAATCATGGCTCTCTTCTTGATCACATCCCGCTGAATGCGACGGGAATGATATCTTCGCTTCCTGCAACATTGCCAAAATAAGCACATAATCAAAGACCAACAGGAAGGACCATGAAACCCACTGGTTAATTTCAACTACACAGTGACAAGTGTCAGGTACATCTGAAATGAAACTGAAACTCAGTACAGTGGGGCCTTGACTTACGAGTTTAATTCGTTCTGTGACGGAGCTCGTAACTCAAATTACTCGTATGTCAAATCATTAAAGTGAACGAGTGAGACACGTGATGCTGGGCTGATGTTGTGGTGTTCACTGTGACATTCACTGCACCAACTAGCGGTGGGGTATCTGAAGCTGGCTCGTAACCCGAATTTTAGCTCGCAACTCAAAGCAAAAAATCGGCCGAGAGACGGCTTGTATCTCGAAAAACTCGTTAGTCGGGACACTCATAAGTCAAGGCCCCACTGTATTCTCACACCTTTTACCACAGTTAAGAATCTTGCACTCTTCCCTCTTGTCTTCCTTCGAGTCCACACATGATGTTGACATTCCACTGCAGAATACCAACTAAAGGATTAAGAAAAGTTTAACTATTGTGTTTTATACTTTTGGACTTACCAAGAATTACTAAGAATTCCTTTCATGCCTCCGTAATTTGGATTCCCATATTTCATGTAATACTGACTTCTTCTGGCTGCTCCAAGTTCTTTTTTGTCATCTAAAAATTAATTACAACAGTTACCTAGGATTTCCTGTGGGTGTGAAAACAATGTGTAATAGTTAAAAATAAATAAATAAGAAAGACCGTTTTGCATAGCTGGGGTCAGGTCAGCACAATCAGCCAACAGAAGGGAAAGATGCACTGCAAACATTCCCTCTCTGTGTGCCCACTAAGGCATTGTGTGTGTGTGTGGCGGGGGGGAGCATGAGGGAGGAGCAAAGCAGAGATGAATGAGGTGAAGCAGCTGTCAAGGAGGAAATACTTCATAGAGGAAATACCACTATAAAACCCCAACAATACAAGACATAAGGTTCTAAGAAGCATGACAGAGCTTCAACCATTACAAGTGCTCAGGCTCAAATGGGCTTTTAAGGTGGCATTTTCACTGCCCCCTGAAAGG